CCCGAGTTCCCTTTTCATTTTTGTGTTATTATATTTTAAAAAATTATTATCGTTCCGTATGTGTTTCAAAATGTCTTTTAAATTACTAACAACAAATATGAAAGACTAAGTGCAACGTTGTAACAAATTTCATTTCCGTCCAAGTTAAGAATGATACGACTCATCGAAAACTGCGCCAACGAACATAAACAGTGGAGTAATCGTCCGTTATCGACCGACTCCAGACAGATTTTGAATTTGTAAACTGTCATTACAACGGACAGTTGACATTGTGCACTGGAGGAAACAATTTGTATCACTCTTGCTACGGATATAATTTGTAATCTGGAATTTTTTGCATACCTTTTTAATACGTATTTAATTGCGGCTGGCGAAAAATTTCAAATTTTGAAAAATGGCTCGGACTATCGAGGAGCTTGGCCACCCTGGGTCTATGCAAATGAGGTGCCAGACGAAAGCGAATATCGTTCCCCACGATACCTTACCAAATTTACCCTCGAAAGTACCTTCGAATGCCGAAGTATTAATTAACGCTGCACTCGCGACTTCGGAAATAAATCGAACTAGTGTCTTCTTATTTTACGAACGCCGTCGCGCTTGCCACACTTGGCTTCTACCGGTTGCCTACCCATCTTAATCGCGAATTTTATATCGGAAGGTATCCTAACATCGATACTTAACGACGTTAAATTGTCGAAATCCATTTTTGCGAAAGTCGAACAACGCGACACGCAAACCAACCCCTCGAATTCAAAGCGACAACAGCCGGCGTCGGGAGTGAGGCTAGTCGCAAAACGGGAAGTCCCGCCGTGACGGTATACGTATCTAAAATTTAACCAATGTTGTTTAATCGTAGTATTCACTTCTATTGTTTTGGGATACAGGCAGCAAACTTTCATAAGTTCAGCAAGTCTTACAAAAAAACTTGGAAATGTGAAGATTGCAAATTAGTGAAAATTGTTAAGAACAACGTAAATTGGACACAGGAACTGGAAGACGACAGAGAACTGGGTGAGTGTGAACAGATTATTATGACTTCACATAATTATANTGAGGGACGAACAGACCCTTAATAAAGTGTTATTTTAAGTTTTAATTATTAAAACATTTCATCACATAAAATCGAGCGTTAGGCAAAAAGCCATAAAAATTTATTTCCCACGGAGTTGGTTCCTTGTTGAAGAGGATCCAACAAGTCAGCGATGTGTCACCCACAACTTTCGATAGAGTGCTCATATTGGACGCCAGACCCTTAACAACAACCACCTGACCTCGTGGAAAAAACCCCAAGAGGAATAACAAGAGAAAACGGAAAAAACACCCGAGGTCAGTCGTCTTCCAAAGCCCGTCCACAAAAGTCGTCTTCGAGGAATAACACCGTGACCAAGAGCCCAGAATTCAACCCGTGACAAAGATCGTGCCTTTTTAAAGATATCATCCCCAATTCCGTGCCGTCACATCGTAGTGCTCCTGTTAACGAACGAGATCCGGAATCATTCTATCGAACATTTTATCGGCGTCAACAGTGTCATCTGTTCACAGATCTTCGACCCAAAAGAAAGGTATTTATCAACCCGCGATTCGTTCGTAAACTCTCTCACTCGAACGGCTTAGTATCATTAGGGTAAACTTTAGGCATGCCCGATATCGAATATATCTGTATTTTCTTTAGTACTTATTAAAATTGTTATTTATTTGTTACTATGGAGTCCGAGTGAGTCACTTCCTGGTCTCTCTCCTCACCTCTACTCCGAATCCAATCGCTCACCCGTTACCGCTCGCGTGACGTAACGTCGCGATTTCCGAGTCCTCGGAGACTCGGTGGTGTCAGATTCGGGTCTCCTGACGTGGTGTCAAAGAGACACCGACCATACGGTCACATAATTATATACAAAATTATAAATTACGGTATTGATTAATAACATTAAAATTTGAGTTACATATAGTTTATTTATACACGAACTATTTTCTAGTATTTTAATACATTTATAAAATCCTTTATCATTTCGTTCGGCTAAATTTAAAAAGATTTTTCTATAAAAGTTGGGTGTAAAATTTTTTCTATTATTATTTGTACAGTCGCGGTTCCAGTTTTATAACATCTTTCTTATCAAAATTATATATTAACCAGCGGCTTTGTTCGGCCAAAAGTTTACACGGGTCTGAAAATATGTTCGATTACTGACAAAAACGAAACAAACTGCATCCGCGTCTCGCCCGTCGCTTTCTCTTAACACTTCCATCAACAATGGAAGTGTTAAGCCTCTCTCCCCCGTGGGGAGGAATTTCGAAAAATCCCTTCTTAGTGCGCGTTCTCGTGACGTACCCCGCGTACCAAATTTCGACTTTCAACTCCTAACCGTTTGGGCTCTGCGCTTATCATCATCAATCCTCTCGATTATATATATATATATATATATAGTCCACTATTTCCTCTATAATTGCTATCAATTAACGTTAATTCAAAAGATAATGAAGATTTTCAAGCAATTCTGCCACAGCAGTTATTTGGCATTTCTGCAAATAGTCATTTTTATTCATTCGATTTAATTATATTGGCATTATTAGTAAAGATACCGCATTGGAAGACTTTTTCGGAATTTTTACATTTTTAGCTATTTTTTAAATATGTGTTTATTACAGTCGATGCAATGACATTTCATGAAACTTTTAATGCGTAACGTTATCGTTATCAAAAAATTTACGTTTATATATATTATGTTGCGGTAATCTTAACCACGTCGCTTTATTTCCAGCCTGTTTTATGCGCGGATATGCTTTACTACAAACACCATGTATTCGTTTTTTCTTCTTTTATGTAATTTTAAATGTCTGTATTGTGGCGACGATAATGATATCAACGTATGTATAACAATAAAAAATTAAAAGTGAAAAGCTATTACGCTTAAATTTTTAATAATAGAATGTTGCCAAGATATGTTGTTATTGCGTATGATTTTTACTTTTAATTTCGTATTGTCCGTGTCTTAACGGTTCCGCATTGAATAAAATTCCGTCGAAAGTTTTTACAACAGACTTTTTAATTTCTGCGGCTGTACTTTTATTTTCGTTATCAAAAATATAAAAATATGTTTTTGGTTTTAACCAATGAATAACGAATGAAATTTAAAGCAGACATCTATAAAGTACGGCTTCCAGACACGGTAGATACCGTATGGTAAAAAGCGCATAATCCTACAATAAAAGGATCATTTTTACCTTAGGAAATTTTTTAATAATCTATAATTGGTGTTTTCGATGAAGAATTTATTATACAGTATCTTCTTGCCTCGGAGATGGACCGTAAAAGACTGGAAAAAATTATATTTTTTCTGTATGTTTTTTAATTTACTATTTCTTATTTCGTGCTTTTGATAAATCATCGATAACTCCGGACTAAGGCCGCTTACCTCGTCGTTAAATTCTTTTTTCTCTTACTTTACCTGTCATAAACAATAACGAAGCTAACGGAAGAGGAAAGAGTGCGCCATCGGATTGGTTACTAAAACGTTTTTCTTAGTATTTAAAAGATGTTTTACACTCGATTTACCGATAACATTCATATATTTTCTTAAATTATGAACATTGGCGGATATATTTCCTCTTAACAAATTTCGCATAAAACTTTAGTTTGATGGGGAGAAGCTTCTTTCAATATTGCTCTTCTCTGAGAAGTAGTCTTTGTCAAAAGACCTAATATATCAATATAATGATTTTTCTTTACGTTCTTCGTTTTATTGCTAAGAATATAAAAAATGCCTCGTTTATGGGGAAGGCACGAATCCTTCTCTCACAGAAAATTTCTTATCCGTTTTAGGATGAAAATCCAAAATCCTTTTATGTCGCTTTTTAGAAAATATATATAGGTCTATACGTTTCCATCTACGAGAAAATCAAATTTACCAGCAAAAGCCCGACGATCTAAACACGATTATTTTAAAATAAAATCGGGCAATAAGTATTTAAATTTATATTTCTCATATTCTATTTTTCAGAAACAAGTTTTGTATTATTAAGATCAATCTTACATTAGAGTAATGAGATTTTACATTTCATTCGTATATGGCAAAGCGACTCGCGAGCGATCTGACTACGAGGAAGTCTTTTACGGAAAACTGGCACCCATTTACGCGTTACTAACGTTACGAAAACACGGAAAACTCCACGTGGCCAGTCCGTTGTGGAGACTCGAACCCGTTCCATAGTTTTATCCACTCGGCCACCGGTGGGCCGCGATGACCAGATTCGGTCGTAAACAAAAATGTCGTTTTCGAGACCATTCGCGAATCAAATCACCAATTACTATTATCCCATTCTTGCGCAGAATCGCGTCAACCGTATATAAATGTAATATCTTTTTCTTCTGGAAAAAACAGGGTGAACGTATAGAGTAACACCCTAGAATCTTCTTAAGCCATTTCTCGTAAATTTTACAAAGAATGATCTTCCTTACCCGTGTACTTTTTCTACATTATAAGGATCCGACAATTATACAAGTAGTAGGATGTTTAAAAGACATATCGATCAATTTTATTAAATTTCGATCCAGTAGTTATCTTCTCGAACATCGATAAATTCTTTTTGTTCTTTTTTATATAAATTTCTTTCATACTTTCCGCGCATTGTTCGAATGAATTGTATAATTTGTTACCATACATCGCTAATTCTTCCGTTCTTTCCGAAATTTATCATTAACTTTAAATAATGCGAGACGATAAGGAATATGAAAAGAGAACCTCATCGATATAAGCATCCAAACACAGTAGAACCTCGATTATTCGGACTAATTGTGGATGAAGGTAGTCCGTATAAGGAAAGATTCGGATAATCGAAACAAACACTTTGTCTTTTAATGATAATACAACACGTTTCCTTTTCGATGACATATCGGTAATATTAAAAATAAATACTGTATTTAAATCGTGATCAAATTTTCAAGAAATAAACGTTCGTATTGAATTTGGACTACTATTGACCAGCGTTAACAGACTACCTATTGTTTAAAACAAGGGTGGGCAACCTTTTTATAACATGGGCCAGAATAAATTTTACGTTTTTTCCACGGGCCATAGTAGTTAATTGACACCTTGTGACCTGTAAATTTTTAGTTTGCAAATATGAAATAAATAAATAAATAAATAAAAAGAAATTAATTACTACAGTCGACCCCCCCTATAACACTGTTGATTATTCCGTTTTATATGAATTCCTTGTTGTATGAGTCACTTAGATTTTACAAATGCGTGTGCCAAACAGTGAACGGCTCACCTATTTGTAAAATCTAAGTGACTTTAATTATTATGCCTTTTTGTCCTTTTTTTTACACTATTTATAATTTATTGTATACTAGTACATTCTATATATTAACAGGACTTATTATACTGGAATTATGAATGCAGATATTTAGTCTTACAGTTTAAAAATAATGTTCTTTATTAAGTTCACCTGTACAGGTGAACTTAATAAAGAACATCCATAATTCCAGTATAATAAGTCCTGTTAATATATAGAATGTACTAGTATACAAAATAAATTATAAATAGTCTAAGTGACTTTAAACACAATAAAAACAGCACTATGTAGTTGGATACGACAGACATTACATTTTCTAATTGCATAGCTTTTGCATAGATTTTCTTGATGGATGATGCGATGAGATATAAATAATACAGAAAAATTCTGTTCTCCCATTTTTTGTTTGAATAAGGAAATGACTCCCTTATTTTTTCCTGTCATTGCTGCGGCAACACCTTCAGAATATAATATTCAATTTAAACTAGACGAATTACAACGAAAAATATTTATTTATAATTTCTTCTAAACATCTCGCGGGCCAGATAGAAACTTTTCGCGGGCCGGGGGTTGCCCATCGTTGGTTTAAAAGGCCCTCTGGTGGCGCGAAAAGACGGATTTTATAAAATAAAAAGCAGTCGAAACTGCATTTTTATGAATAAAAATTTGACGAACTATTTATCGTTTTATGACGAGTAAAATTTTTTCGTCGCGTTCGCGACTTTTAAGTAATGCGTAAACCTTCGAGGCGCGAGGCCCTTCGGACCGGCAGGCATAAGTGGTGACCCACTTCGCCCGTGCCTTACGCCGCCCTCGGTCATAGAAATGATGTAATTTGAATATAAATTTTTTATAAATACGTATGTCAAGTTATACTTTTATTACGACGTAAAATATATTTAAGAGTTTAAGACCACCGTGCCGGATGAGACGTTGTCGAAACAAAGTTATGCATTCCATCACGTACATAAACAGTGTCGTAATTCGCCGAGTGCAAATCAGCAAATTCGTAAAATTTTTGTTTATTTTGAAAAATCCGGATAATCGAAAATCCGGATAGTGGAGGGCCGGATAATGGAGGTTCTACTGTATATATGCTTTCTGCCGCCTGGCAACACGCTACTGAGATTTTAGGCTAGTAAGTTGAGTTTATTATCGTCTGCACAGTATGTAAATTAGGTACCGTAAGTCTAATACAGCACTAATTTTATACATTTCTTGTGAAAGAAACACTTCTTATTCAACGTCCATAAAAATTATTTATATTAATGATGTCTCCAAAGGTCAAGTTATTTTTC